TTGCATAATAATTTTATGAGCAGATGAATGTCGAAATATTATTAAAAGAAAAGATATAATGAATCTGTTTATTTCATGAGTTTAAATCTCTGCTAGTTATCCAGATTCACATGATTTTTTCGCTAATATTTGCCACTTTCACATCCATAAATACATATCTTTCAAGGAATCTATATCAATACGTCATGAATGAGAGACGTCGTAACACCGAGAGAAATGGCTTTATTAGCACGAATAGAAACCGTAAGATATTATAAATGAAAGATCCTGAATATAATCTTAAAATCAAATTTTAACAAAGAAAAAGTAGATCAATATACAATTATGCACAGATATTATAACAAAAGTATCCGATAAATTTTCGCTATCGATTTTTTCTCTTTCGTTAAAATCCATAATTGTGTAGCAAAATAGATAAGTTAAATAGCGATATTTTGTTTCACGCATCTATAATCATATTACATCATATGTTAATATATTTGTAGATTTACTGTTGTTATTATTTTTAGATATATTCATCTATACCGTTCATGAACTTACTTCAAAGCCTTTCTGTAAGTGAAATATTTCGATGGTTGTCTGGATACTAAATCCAATAACCCACACCCTCAATTATCGTTTCAATTGTAACTTTTGTTAATCATAATAAATTAATCTCTAAGAGCAGAAAAACAAAGATATTTATTTTTATTTGAGATGGAGTATAAAAGTATGTGATAATTCAGTTAAAATATAGAAAGAAACAATTCGCGAATATCATAGAATAAGAATTCTCCTGATTAAAGTATTGTTTGGACTTTGCATTACTTGCAAAGAAAAGAACAAGATAAGTGAAAATTAATTTGTTCCAAATAATTAATATAACTCTGCACTATTTAAAAAAGTAGTATTGTCAACTCCACCAGCAACTAATACTTTTCCATTTGATAATATAGATGCTGTGTGACCACCTCGTGCATTATTCATGTTACTAGTAGTTGTCCAAGTACTTGTTGATGGATCATACAATTCGGCACTATTTAAATAACCAATATCA